TGAGGGAAAAAGGACTTTTAGTTTATCTGTCAATTGTCAACTTGACTAGTTGACCTGTCTTAATGGATGACTTGTCTTTCCGTTTCCCTTTCCGTACTGGTTATTTTGTTGTAACAGTGGAGTTGTCCCAAGTCGAGTTGGCAAACATTTGAGTTGTCTGAGCCCATGTGTACAAGTTCATGCATATGTTTCAGTCATCTTGGTCTGATTTCATGGCGCTGCTAGGCGTACATTTTTTATGATTGCAGAGGCTCCAAATTATTTCATTGAGACTGTAAGCAGGAAGCACAGCAGAGGGCACACTTACCTTGGATACGAAAAATTTGTTTAACTTAGTGAAGCAATGCCATGAAAAAGTGCTCAAATTAAGCAAAATCTGCAGTATGGTAGTACATTTAAACACAGCTTTTTGGCTATAAGCTCCATGAAATTAGGTCCTGGTCACATGTTGTTCTTTGATGAACAGCCTGCAGGAAATTGATACCACTCAATTGTGCAGTTCACTCAGTTTCATGGTACAGTGGTTCTTGAATTGGCCTTGAAAACCGCACAATCGCAATCTCAAATCCCTGCCAGGCCACACTAACAAACTGCAGTTGTTGTTGTTTTGTTTGTTTCATCCCAAAAAGTTCTGATATCTTCATTTAATGTTTTAAATCTAATTCGAAGTTAAATTGCAGAATATGTTATTTTGTTTTTTTTGTGATCTTTGGTTCTGGAGCACTTGTAAGGAAAAAAGACTGAGACTTGTCACTGTAAACTGTTAAATTCCCCCTCCCCCAAACACTCACGGTGGCAACTTACAGTTGCTACCATATGCCAGCAAAACCAGCAAAAGCTGGAAATAAAGACCTAATCTGCATTTATACATCTAAATGTACATGTAGGGTTGATTTCCATCTTTGAATGTACGTTTAAGCATAGAACCAGATGCAGCTTTTTCTTGACAGAATTCCCCCCCCCCAAAAAAAGCACTGTTATAAAGGCTAACATTCTTTGGACTTGTTAATTGTAGGATTTTATCACTGTCTGCCGGTGTTTTCATTCTGACATGATGTATTTTTATACATGCACTTCATCATCTGAAAGTGTATTTTCCCTCCTATACCGGCAGTTATCTTTGCAGACTATTTCTCACAGCAGATCCTCCAGCTTCTGCAGATTTACTGATACTTGTCTTCCTCTGTTCAACAAGTTTAATATTAGATTTAATTCTATTTTATTGGTAAATTTTTTTTTTATTTTGTGTAACATTTTAATGATGAGATTTTCATATATACAGATAATGTAGATAATGGAAGTGATGTACTGAACAACCAGTAGATGGTATGCACTGGTACGTTTTGGGCAGCTACAAGTATTTTGAAAATAATGAGGACACCACAAATACCAAATGCCTAAAAATGTCAAAATGACGTTTTTCCCCCAGATAGGATACGCCCAACCTTTGCAAGTAACTGGTGGTATCTACGTTCGTCAGTTCAGCCGAGCTTTTATCATTGCTGATATCAATAAACCAGATCACAGGGCTGTCTTTGTCAGCATTGATGCTGGAATGCAAGATCAGCTGGTAACGCTTGAGGTATGACAGATTTAACATGCTTGT